ATGTATGTTCAATAAAATACCTTATTCACCAGGTGAGTAATAAAAACGCCATCTCTGCGTCGCTTTTACATCATTTCAAATCCCTCAGTTCTCACCATCTCTGAAAAGCCAAGCCAATGTTGAATCTGGTTTTGTTCTTTTTGCCAGCAGACTCTCTGTTCGGTGTTTTTTCTTAAAACGGCTGATTTCCCGGAGGTTTGAGATAAGGGGCTGTTTAAACGATATTGTTTTCTACTAAAAACGTAAAACTTTTTATACGTTTTGGGTGCCTGAAAACGCAAACTTTTGAAAACGGGTTTAAAAGTCCAAGTTTTTGAAAACGTCTCCGTGCAAACAAAAAAAAGGCAAATCTCTGAAAATGATGACGTCATGCTCATGCGTATTATGTGTTCAAATAGTGTTTCATTTTACCCCTGGTATTGATTATGTAGGCTATATTCTTAGCAATAAATAAAAACATAAAAAAAAAAAAAAAACTGTAGTGTTTCATCCCCATCTAATGGCCTGGCAGCAGAATACAGCGTTTTTAGTCATTTTCGCGGATACTTGTGCATGGGGATCGTTTTGACAATGGTGTCGCCTGTACGCGGGAAAACTCAAAGCAAAAACTTCTGCATTTTAAGCATATCGTTGTCGTGTAAACGTACCTGCTCCATGTAGCCTACCTGCTCCATGTCAACCTTTCTCGCTCGTTCCTTATGGAAACTAACCTCTCCCACACCATACACGTGTCAAAGTAGCCGAGCAACTTTTCTCTTATGCATAGCATTTGACCAATGGCGCCGCCAGGGGGTGGCCACCCCACTGGCCACCCCAACGGCCAGAATAAATTTTAGTAGCATCAGTTATGCATTTCATAAATAAGTCAAAAATATTCTTTAGTAAAAGAAGACGGTGTCGTGACGTGCTTTTTAAGTACCAAATGGTTACAGTATACTGTTACAGCAGCTTTTTGATGCGTCTTTGCCACGTTTTGACAAGCAGGGATGCAAACAGCGCGCTTTTCGGCGCCTCCCGCTTTTTTTACGTCAGTTTGGGTGACAAAGTCATCTGAAGTCATTCCATAGCTTAATGTGAGGGACAGAAGTCTATTTACATCATTAAAGTATATATACGGAAACTCGTTTTCCCTCCTCTGCGGCTGTCAATCATTCTCCATTCATATTCAAACAGCGCGCGCGCCTCTAGGATGCACGGTAAAACTCTCTCCAAATTATATATTCACATTATAATGCATGATCTGTAGATAAAAGGCTGTAGATTTGCATAAAATTACTTTATTTTGTTGGAGTTTGTTGTTTTTAAACGACTCACTACCGTGTGCTTGCTAGATCATCACACACACATCACAGGGACTATGAATCGGCATCAAACGCACAATAACTGGAATATAAAACTGAAACAAAGGAACAAATCGCACTAGGATTTGTGCGCTCGACATTTCTTCGCTTTGTGAGTGTGACGTGAACTTATAAATGCGCACTTATGCAGCGCTGCACACAGAGTCACCATGTTGCTTTGAGCACATCATTCTGCACCCGCGATGCGCATACACGCTGTGTGCGCTCTGTTTTTCATGTTATCATCGGTTTGCGCACTGAAATATTAAAAGCCAATATATTTTGTTATACCTAGCCTGCTCAATACATTTAAAATAAGCATAATTTAATTGTATATTATTTCTTTGTAGTGTAGGCTATGCACTTCTGAATTCTTGACATTAATATATAAATATAAAATTGTGAAATGTATGATTGCCTGATTGAATTTTATAAGAGGACTAATAGTAATTTGTTTTTATTAACATATTTAGATTTTATAAAATTACTGTGCAGATTTTTTCAAGAATTACTTTTTGCTGCTGATTTATACACTCATTAAGTTTATTAAAAAAATCATAGTACATTTATGTAATATTTAAAGGTGTTAGTAATCTTACACTGCAAAATAATAACTTAAAAAGGACTAAATTCATCACAATTTTGTAAGTATCTGGAAATTTGCCACGGGGCAAGGGCCCTTATATATATATATATATATATATATATATATATATATCATATATATATAATATATATCATTATATATAATATACTATAGGGCCCTACTAATATCTTTAGTAAGCTAACATTGAATATGACACAATAAACCAAAGTATATCAGTAGGAGTTTCCTTAAGTCTTTCTGATAGTTTTCTACAGGCCGGTTTACTAAAACAGTAGAATAAAATTCTGAAATTATGGTTTATAGTTTTGGTGTGCCACCCCAAGATTTTAAGTGGCCCCATCTGGCCACCCCTATGAAAAATTTCTGGAGGCGCCACTGCATATGACAAGACGTGCACTGGCAAGTGACTCGTGTAGGCTACCCAATTTCCCGCGAAAACACTTATCCTCCCGACTCCCGAGACCCAGAAAAAAAAACAACGTTTTTTTAAACGTTTTTTATTCTTTCATATCATCACATTGTTTACACTTTAGAGCATAAGAAACAAATTAAAAACATTTTTTTTTTGAAAAATGTTATTCTGTGTCCTCTGTAGTTGACACCAGGACTCAGTTGTTTAAAAAAAATAAAAAGACATGAAATTGCATGTAGGCAAAACCAATGGGGTTTTTCATTCATTCACCAATCAATTTTTGGGTTTCAGGATTTTTTAAAGCAAAATGTATATAAAGATGATTCTCAACTATGTTATGAAAGATATAACGGAATTAATTGATAAACCATTTGACTTTATGCAAAATGTGGGTAAAATGGCCATAAATGAATATTCCCATTCAATACAATATATCTATACACTATCTAATTTGCACATTAATGTGTTCTTGGGGCAACTAATGGAAGAAGAAGTGTAAAAATTGGAGTAATAATTGGCAACATTCTAATAATAATATCTTTTCATAGGAATATTGATGTATAATTTCTTTCCCTATTCACTTGTTGTGTCTCCCAAAATGTCTGATAAACATGATTTTTAGTCCTGTTGTCCACAAATGCCCTGTTCTGTAACAGAAAGTCATGTTTAGATTTGAAACCTCATAACGTTTTCCTGAGATGTTGGTTGATGAAATACAATTTGAAAAGTACTCAGATTTAAAGATAATTACAGTATATTATCATATGTCCATTAGAGTGCAACATTTTATCAATAAATTAATGTCAGTCATTTTTAAAGACCAAGGAGAAGTTGTTTTCATGGTGAAACCTCCAAACATCTCTGAAAATCCCTGAATGTGCTCTTTACAGGACATCCAGACTAAAACTGTGACATGTATGGTGTCAGAGAAATTCACTAAAATATAATGTCCTTTACGTCTATTGCCATAGTTATTAGGGGTAAGACAAAAACACATTTTAAAAGGAGGGATGCTGTATTTACTCGTTATCTAAATTTTGTTAAGTTTTGTTAATATACCATACATTTAAACTAATAATATCATGTTAATATCCCTCAAAAAATGTTGCATGACACCCTATGTCATCTTAACTGTTTCCCTAGGAAGTTCATTGTATACATTTTAAGATTTGATAAACGATTTCGATACTGTTGGGTTACAACTTGATTTGCAATGCAAAATCTGGGTCCTGAAGTAAAACCTGTTTTATGTCACACAATTATGAAGTGTCTAAACACCAGGATAAATGTACGGGAGATGGTGTTGTTATGTGTTGAGAACAGGTGTTTGCATTACTTCGGTCCAGTTTTAACTAGACAACAGCATTCCTCAAACATGCTCAGAGATTAGTTGAGCTTGTTTGATGCAGATTTACCAAATCCCATGATGTTTGCGCCTCAGTAAGATGCCATGCAGCTTCAGCACAGCAGGATCCCACTGACCAAACAAGCAAACACTGCCATCCCGTTTATCTAGCCCTATTTACCCAGCTGCATCGCAGAGAGTCTTGAGCTAGCTGATAATTAAAATCGTGATTTGCTGTTTTTCTGTTGGATAAATAAACCTGCACATCGTTGCAAACCACTGATTGCCGGTCAGAATACCAATACGTGTTCATCAATGTGTTGATATGACTTAATTATTGTTTATATGACTTGAGAGCTTTTCTCTTGGATTGAATCTAAGCCACCCTTTCATTCCAGCAAGGACTGAACTAATCAAATTACAATTACAAATCAGTTTACTCGGTTATTAAAGGGATACTCCACCCAAAAATGAAAATTCTGTCATCATTTACTCACCCTCAAGTTGTTGCAAACCGGTATGAGTTTCTTTCTTCTGCTGAACACAAAGGAAGATATTTTGAAGAACGATTCCCTTTAAACTGTGAAGGTATTCTCAATTTATATACTTTTAGCTTTATAAAACAGAAACATTTCCACTTTGAAATTGCTGTAAAAGTTCCTACAATAGTTAACAGGCTAATAATGAATCATATTACTGAAATGTTTTTATCATTTTATCATTTATCAAGAAATGTTTTTTATCATATTGCCCCCGCCACCATTTTGAAAAGCAACAAAATATTTGAAGCCATATGTTACAGTGATTTCAACATGATAAAAAGACTTTTAGGCCCTTCAAGTTGTACACATGGCCTTGAGTGGCTTATTGCGCAATTACAAAATTAATAATAAAAAAAGACTGGATAAACCACTTCTGAAGCTATACACACATATATTTATGACGGGTAACATATAAAATGTCACCTAGAGTTATGTTTATGAACTTAAGTATTTGGTGAAATGAATAATTAGATTTACCATGGTAAAAAAATCACTGTAATTCATAGTCTCTTTAAAAAATGAAATAATTATAACCTTTATTGTGGACCTTAGTCATCCCGTATGTGACCGATTTTAAAGCATAACATTCTTTACTGAACAACTTTCTTTTTCTCTGTTTTGAAATATTAATTATTGAGAGAATTTTTAGCAAAGAAATTATGCAGAGAAAATAGGACCACCATTTCTGTTACCTGAATACCTGATACTTTATGCACAAACCCAATGACGCTTAAGTAAATAAGGAAATGAAAAACAATTTGTCTCCGTTTTAAGCTTATATTTATTAAATGAACATGAATGCAAATTAGTTTTTAACATCTCACATGAGGCTGCAAGTCACCTTTTCCTCTGGAAAGAAAATCATAGATAAAAAGGATTATTGCCTTCATTGCTTTAAACACCACGTGTCTCATTCATTCAGTGCGTCATGCCGGGAGTGCCCTCGCTTCTTACTCTGTCCGTTGAGGGTGTGACGAAGAACCCGTCTCGATTTTAAAATGCACAAGAAACTTTGGTAACCCGTGTTCCTGCGGCTGGAAAAAGTTGGCACAAAAGTCTCAAACTTCTTCCCAGTGGTGTCCGATGTTGAGGAAGGGACGAAAACAAACGAGTAAACGTCAGGAAACCGCATCAGAAGCCCTTACAAAACCTGAAAACGCCAGGCGGCCTGGTCTTTGTAGTCCAAGCAGTCGGCCGCCGCAGAACTGAAGTTCAGTTTCCATGATGATGCCACGGCAGCCTGCTCTTTGTAATCTTTGTAATCCAGACAGTCTGAGGAGCTGAAAGGCAGCCCAGTGCCGCCGTACCCCTGGTGAGGGTGGCTCTGCCCGATGTGGTGATGCGGGGCGGTGCTCAGCTGTGTGTGATGGGCGTGCGGGTGATGGTGGGCGTGACCTGGCATGGGCGCCAAGTAGGATCCGCAGTCCATGCCTCCAAAATAAGAGGCGGCGTTCGAGGTCGGGTAGCCCTGGGCGTAGCTGGGAGCCTGGTTGTAGGGCATGGGATACGACGGCACTCCTGTGGAGCCCCCGGCGCCCGAGATGGCCCTCTGCATGCAGGACGCACTGGCCGGGGGGGAGATGTCGGGTAGCGACGGGGGAGCAGGGAGAGGCGAGACCGGAGCGGGACTCCAGATGGACGAGACAGGTGTTGTTCCTGAGGACGAGCCGTTGATCAGAAGACCGGAGGGGTTGGAGCCTGAGGACGAAGACGAGGACGATGAGGAGACGGCGGGAGGAGTGAAGTGACCGCTGCTCTCTGACCCCGGGCTCTCACGGGACGGAGAGGGTTTCTTTTTCGCCGGACGGATCTTTGAATTGCCGCTGCTCTGCTGCTGCTGCCGACACTTTGCCCTTCTGTTCTTAAACCAAACCTGTCAACAAATACGTCACGGGATAGTGATTGTTATGCTTATGGATGGATTGGAAATTTGCAAATATTTGTCAATGACCTAAAATGACACGAAAAAAACTGCACTGACACTTTCCGATTAGATCAAAATTTGAACTAACTTTGCAACATCGACACTTATTGAGTTGAACTGAATCAACATATTTGATTCAACTTGAGTTGAATAACGACACTATTGTCTTCTGCAAGCTGCTTTATAGCTGAATTGAATTTGTTTCATAATTTGCAAATTTGACACTATAATTGAACTTAATTGGAACAACATTGAACTAAACTGAATAATGACACTTTCAGATGAGAACAAAATTTGAACATCAACACTGTTGTTGAACTTAACTGAAACAATATTGTACTGAATTGAGTTGAATAACAACAGAATTAAACTCGTTTTATAATTGATGAACTGCAACATTTACACTATAATTGAACTTAATTGAAACATTGAACTAAACATAATATTGACACTTTCGGATGATTACAAAATTTGAACCGAGTTGAGCTGTATAATCACACTAACTTTGTAACATCAACACTGTTATTGACCTTAACCGAATCAATATTGAACTGAATTGAGTTGAATAACGACACTATTTTATAGCAGAATAAACTTGTTTTATAATTGATGAACTGCAACATTGACACTGTTATTGAACTTAATTGAATCAATATTGGACTGAAGTGAGTTGAATAACGACACTATTGCTTTCTGTAGAGCTGTTTTATAGCTGGATTGAATTTTTCATAATGATGAACTGAACTGAAACAACATTAAACTAAACCGAGCTGAACAATGACACTATTAGATGAGAACGTTTTTTGAACTGAATCGACCCGAATAATGACACTAATTTTGCAACATCAACACAGTTAATGAACTGAATTGAACTTTTTTTAATAAGATGAACTGTGCAACACTGACTTTTTTCGGAACTGAATCAGCATTGAACTAAACTGAGCTGAATAAAAGCACTATTGTCTTTGCACTCTAAAAAATGCTGGGTTGTTTCAACCCAAATTTGGGTCAAATATGGACAAACCCAAATGTTGGGTTAAAAATGTAGTTTAAAATTTTAACCCAACTTCAACTTTCACTTTCAACTGTAAATGTTTTAATTACATTTTTAACCCAACATTTGCGTTTGTCCATATTTGACCCAAATTTCGGTTGAAACAACCCAGCATTTTTTAGAGTGTGGTAGAACTGCTTTACAGCTGGATTGAACTTGTTTCATAATTGATGAACTTTGCAGCATTGACACTGTTACTGAACTAAAACAACATTGAACTAAAACAACATTGAACTAAACCGGGCTGAAAAATGACTATTGGATGAGAACAAAAATTTAACTGGATTGAGCTAATGAAACTCACTTTTAAAACATTGACAATATTATTGAACTGAATTGAACTAATTTCACAATCGATGAAAATTGCTTCACTGACACTGAACTCAAACAACATTGAAATAAACTGAGCCGAATAACATTGTCTTCCGTAGAGCTGCTTTCACTTGTTTTATAATTGATGCACTTTGCAACATTGACGCAATTATTGAATTTAATAAACATAATTGATGAATTTTACTTATTTTCCTGTTTTTTAGCAACCTTGAAACAATCTGTATTGCATGCAGCGCTATATAAATAAATGTGACTTGACTTGAAATCTCTCAGCATTAGGAAATCAGGACACCACCACCCACCTGCACTCTTGACTCGGGCAAATTGATTTTCAGGGCCACCTCCTCGCGCATGAAAATGTCTGGGTAGCGCGTCTTAGCGAACAAGTTCTCCAGTATGTCAAGCTGAGTTCGAGTGAACGTGGTTCTCTCTCTTCTCTGTTTACGAGGATTTGCTGCAATAAGGAAGACATTCAAAGTTATAAAAAAAGTCTAAAGAGTTACATACAGATGTACTTTAAAGTCAAGGTAATTTGCTCAAAGTGTTATTGAATCATTGCCATGCATTGCAGTACTGAGAAGTTATTATACGTTGCTTATTTGAATAAAGATTCTACTCTTTAAAAGTTTATCTTTCAGGGATGCTTACTCGGATATCCCACAGAGGGATGAAGGAGGTCCATGGTTGCCCCGCTGAGCCCCAGCCCGTTCATGGCATACGGGTTCTGTTTGAGGTATGACATCATTGTTGAGCTCCAGAGAGACAGCTGCAGCAAGAAACAATTATTATAAAATTAATAAAACAATAACCCAATTTTTTTTTAAATGTGTTGTTTTTAACAAGAGGACTGACAAAGTGCAGCAAATTGCCTGTATTTTTTATGCATCCTATCACACAGTGCAGCATAAATAAACAGCGTTTGGATATACAGCCCCATTGTAAAAACATGTAAAACGCATCAAACGCATGTCACGAGAGTGATCATCAGTCTGAATATGACTAATGTCTTGCCTTTAATGATCTCTTTTTTCACACTCGACTAATCAAGGGCTTCACACACACTAATTGGCCATTTGCATGTCATGCCCTGTTAAGCGTTCCTGGTGGACGCAACGCCGCGAAGCGTCTGATCTTTCCTTTTGTTGGCGGTACAATTATGAATTTACTTAATGGTCGTTTTAATCTAACAGCTGGTGACAGATACATTTAAACGCTATGTAAATTTGATTTATATATATATATATATATATATAAATTATTTGCATTAATAATTTAATCATTTAGCTCCAGTCATGGAATGACTGAACTCAGGCTATATTGTTCTATATATATATATAGGCTACACACACACACACACACACACGGTAAAAAAAGTTGCTGTTAAAAAAGTTAAATTTTTAAGTAGGCTACAATCAACTTGGGTTTTTAAGTCATTTCAACTTAAATCTTAATCTGACTTTAATTAAAAACCTGACTTCTTGTATAACTTATAATAAAGAAAATTGCTTAACTTATTTTTATTTTTACTTCTTAGAAACGAAATACTGAATTCTAAAATCTTCTGCATTCCCGAGAAACAGCAGCACTGAAGCGCTGTTGCGGCTGGAGGAGTTTTCCGCTCGGGATAAACTCGAGACTTATGCGCATCTGGAATTATTTGGGAGGACCAAAATGTGTTTCGCTGCAATTGTTATGAGGCACAGTACAAATGTATTAAGACAAAAGTTCTGTAAATGACATGTTGCGCTTTTTCTGGGTCGCTCATGCCTGTGAATGGCCCCATTAATCCCACGCTGAGGACAGATAACATGGGCCTAAAGATTCCACAATCGAGCTTTAACTATATGTAAATGACTACCGAGTGTGCAAATTATTCTCCATAGCCATTTAGATTAGACCCAGAGGGGACTCCATTTGCAGAAGAAACCTTATCAACTAAATAAACGACACAAATTCTCATATTCCGTGCACACTGAATAGCCTACTCAAAGTTTGTTAATCAGGACTGCAATTGCGCCAATATGTTCTTAAAAAAACTGTAGCTAGGAAAATATATTTATATATCTATAGGCAAAATGATTTATTTGTATTTGGCCACATTATTTTTCTTAAAACATCATTCAAATGTAAGCTAGGCCTAATTGCTAAACGCAATTTAATTAACCCACTAAAATTGAAAAATGAAGATCAATTGCTGACTATTATTATTATTATACGATTATTTATTGCACTTCTAAATCACCTTTAAAAACGTATAAAATCTGGTCGGAATGACTGAAACTTTAGTGACAAAATGATGTTGTTAAAAGTAATAATAAGCTATAACAATGCAATCATCGTCCTCTGCATTTAGATAGCCTACTTAAAATATATTTAAAACATTTCTACTGTACCTTTTATTCTTGGTCTTCTGTGCTCTTTTCTTTGAGATCCACTGAAAATCCACAAAACCAAGAAACACTTTTTTTTTTTGTGAAGAGAAATCTGAACTCCAGCTGGTTGTAATTGTAAGAAAACGAATTAGCCGCAAACTTCAAAAGTCCCAAATATATTCACAAAGTCCGTTTGCACTGAGTCAGATGTGGCTCGTTGTATCCACGCGTAATATGAAGGTGATAGCCAATGCTTACGAATTGAGATTGATCACCTTCTTGATGGCCTGTCCGTCTATGAGCAAAAGACACCTGCGGACCCGCCCACCACAGCCAATCAGAAGTCTCGCTTGTCCATACAGACGACTGCTCTAGCCAATCAGAACGAAGAAGTGCTCATTAACTCCTCCTTTCGACGTGACGACATATTAACCTGCCGTGTGAATGAGCGAGTCCCGAGAGAGTAAACTATTTGAATACACTTTTAATTCGAGACTTAAGTGAGCGTAACACTGCGGGGAAGGAAATACGAATGATAAGACAGCAATTCGTTAATCGATTTACCGTTTGGTTGAGGAAAATGCGTAGTTTTTAGTGACGAAATCTTTTCTGAGCACCAATCAGGCCTGTCAACAAAACAATTTCATCCTCACATTTGCATTAAATAAAATTTCGCTTGTATAGGCTATAAACCTAAAATAATTATTACAAGCATGTTTCAATTGCTCATAATTTTAAATGAGATGGTGACAAACAGTTTTAGACACCATCCTCCTTCCTTCCCTCCTTCCTTCCTTGTGGCCCAAATAGCCTATTTATTTATATCTGGATTTATTTATTACATTTAAAAATATTTAGCCTAATAGACTAATTAATGCAAAATGAGTGGATTTAGTTTCAGAACTAAATACCCTAATTTCCTTCTTTTTTTTTTTTGTAAGGCTTTGACTAAAAGGCCAAGTTAGGCTAACCGTGCGAAGAAAAACCGACATTAAAATGCAGACATTCTTACACAAATAAACCTTGATAGCTATAGGTAGCCTAGGCCTAGTTTTATATGATCACATGGGCCTGTTATTAAGAAAGATAAGCAGTGAAACTATTCTTTTAAAAAAAAGCCTATTAGAAAAATGATTTGTCTGCCAAATCAAAGTCAGTGTGGCGCAACCAACATGTAGCCTATAGATTTATGTCGAAAAAACAAAACATAAAACAGAAGTAAAATAATTCCGACGTTTTAGGCGGAAGCCTATAAACTTCTTGATGTCGACTCAATGTAACAGCGAAATAAATAAATAAATAAATAAATAAGAATAAAAGTAAAACACTCATGTTTTTTAAGAAAAGTAGGCTGCTAGCTACTTTTATGACATTTTAGTGTGCTAAATTGTTCTAGCTATAGCCTATAGAAAACGGCCTAAAAACTTAAAATATAAACAAAGATTTTAATTAGGCTAATAATCAGTTCATCATATAAAGTTACGCATGTGAATAAGTTAAATAAATGACCATTAAAAATGATCAAAAGGGCATTATATATTTACACAGTTAGGCTATATTATATAAAAACTATTGCTCAGATCTGGCATTACTGTCGTGCCCATAACGATGAGACACATTACAACAAAACTTCCTAAACGATTTGTGTGCATCAAAAGCTGTTAAAGAGGATCGATCCCGTAAAATCAAGATATCTGCTTCTGCTGGCACTAACCTATTGTCCAGGGGTATTTGTGTAATCCCAAAATGCAGTAGAGTTTCCTGAGCAGTTATAAACCCGTAAAGCCGTGGGATCAGCCGGCCTGAAGCGAGTGTGTGTGTGTGTGTGTGTGTGTGTGTGTGTGTGTGTGTGTGATGATTGGTCTCTTTGCCAGGCGGATTGTCGTGTTTCTTGTAAATTGTCGGCGCTTATTAAAACGATGGTGCATAAAATCCCCTGTAAATCCCAGAGTTGTCAGAAAGCGCGAGCGCAGGACGCGTTGATCTGTCACTCACCGGGACTTCGGGGAAAAGAGGAAGACGGAGCGGGAAAGTTTTAGGCTACACCTGGATTGCGGAGTTCACGGAGGAGGATCGGCAGGTATAGCCTATAGCCTGTAGACTTCAGGAACAGCTTTAAATCATAAAAGTAGCCTATGATATGAGATTTCCAAAAGTTCAAGACTTCTTTTCTTTTATAGCCTAAAGGCATTACGTTTTATTTGAAATCAATCGGTAACGAAATGTTGTTCTTGTAAGAAGTTGAAGTTCTGTCGACAATATTCTTTGAAAATTAAAACAAACTTATAGACTTTTCCTGTGTTCTAAATTGTCTTAAAACAGTTCTTTTGTTGTTGTTAAACTTTTACTTTGAATTGCCATACTTTTACGATTTTAGATGTAGCCTATATGTAAGATAAACCTTAAGATATCTACATAATTTCTAACAACATCATTTTAGATTTAAAATATTGATATTCATTCATTTAGGCCCTATTTGTTTGTTTTCTTTTTTTTTCAGAAACAAAACATTCACTGTAAAAAAAAAAGTTGCTGCTTTAAAATACAATCAAAATACATTCAACTTACGTTTAAGTAATTTCAACTAAAAAAACATTCAACTGACAAAAAAAAAAAGGTTGAATTTTGGCTAACTTATAAAAAAAACCCCTGTATTTTAATGAGCTTAAACAATGTAAAAGCATATTGTTATAACATATTGATCATATATATTTTTTACAGTGTTCTTCATTTAAAAAAAAAAAGTTTCTGGACTCTTAAAATTTCAGTTGAAACATGCCTCAGATAATTGTTTGCCTTGTTATAAAATACTGATCCAAAACAGCTTGGAGACATAAGCCTATAAAAATGCTTTGATTGATATAAGATATGTTATCCAAAAAGAAAATGAATTCAACAACTGCATTATATCAGTTCAATGGTGTCATCATAATGCCTTGGCCGCCCACACCAGTTAAACAGTCAAAAGTTACTTTAAGAGAAATGTGCACATATATAGAGCGCACAAGCACAGAATCAAAGAAGCCTTGACTGAAGAAATGTGCAGATAAATGACAGCAGTGATTGTAGCGCTCACTAACTGATCCAGGCTTTTGTTCAGGGGAAAACTCAACTCATACAGTAGCTGCCAGAAAACACAAGCTCTCGCCTGCAGCCTTCAGCTGATCTCAGTTCAGAGTTTGCATTTTAAATCCAGATAACGTGACTGCTTCCAGACCCAGATCAGACCTATAATCTGAGTCCCTCAACACTTAACCTCAATACATTATTCAGAGGACTAATTTTAGGTTGTCGGAGTTGCGTAACATTACAAACATTACACACACATTGGCATCTCTGTTTTTATGAGGAAGCTTTAACATCCACGGAATCGTTCCACTCCACAAAAGGTTCAATATAGTGTAATAAATTCTTCAGATTTATTAAAATGGTTAAAAAATAAAAACCGCTGTTCACCGAAAGGTTTGAGTGTTTTTGAGTTTTTCCACCATGACTTTTCCAACAAAACAAAAAAATAACAGTGACTTTTAAAAACTTTATTGATTTATTTTCCTTTTCCATGTTTTTCCATGACCGTTGGAACCCGGATATATGATCATGCCTATATTCAGATAATACTTAGCCTATATAGAATTCAGTCCAATGTAATGCTATTTACGTAATGAAAGTTATTAATTGCATAACATTACGTAATTAACCTGATGAAAGAAAGAGGTTTCATGTGATGAATTTCTAAGCAAAAATATTTCATTACATTGGTGACGTGACGTCCAGTGTTATTTTAGTATCAAACACACATATATATATATATATATATATATATATATATATAATTACAGTTTTTATATTAAATATATATTTATATATAGTATATTATATTACTTTTTATAAAATATTATATATTTTACAGGTACACACACACACACACTAATATATATAATCATTATTATATTGTGATTTTTATTAGTTTTTAAAAAATATATCTATATAATTTTTATTTATTAGTTTTATTTATTTTAGCCTGCTACAGGTTAAACTAAATGAAAAGGAGAAATGCCTTGGCAATTAGCTGAAATTAAATAAGTCAACTTTTTATATATATTACATTTATTTCAGTTAACGTTTCTTTTAATGGTTTTAGTTTTAATGATAACATCCCTGGTGACGTCACTTAATGATGTAGGGTAAAAGCCAAACACTCACTGTGAGTGTGGACATGAAGATAATGGAGAGGAGGGAAGAGCAGGAGAGTGTGGAGCTGTCAATCACAGCGCAGGGGTCCCGCCCCCCTCATTAGGAGGGTAAACAGAGGGGAGGAGTGATGAGAGATAGAAGGAGAGAAACAAGACTCAGGTGGAGAAACCAGATACACGGCTTAAACACACACACACACACACACACACACACACACACACACATACATACACACACACTCACTACTAAAATTCATCACAAGCACACTTAGTTTTGCATGAGTTTTACCCTTAAATGCATGAATGTTTGGCCAATCATTCTTACAGCGACCCGGCTCTATATCTAACACGGATGGATCTCTACCTGTCGCTATAATATAAACTCTCCTGATATTAGAGTAACAATTACAGAAGAATAAATAATAAAAAGCGCATTTTGGAGCTGGGAAGGGTTCAGTTTGAGCAGATGTTTTATACCATCATCACTGTCCTCGTCAGAGCTCTTTTCCCAGTGCATTCAGCTTCTGGCTCATATTCCCCATCTCAGACATATTCTCAAAACTATCATTTTCAACGTCTTCAAAATCAATATTTTGATCGCTGACAGCTTCTTCAGTAGATCCAGCATCAAGTGACAGTGACAGTAATATTTGATTGCGTTTAGTTCTTGCTCTGCAGTAAATCACTGAGCCATTTCAAGTTTTGCTGATGATTCTTCCTATTCTTCTGTTTTCTGCCTGCTGTAACTATGAGTGAAACGTCACTTCATCATTGTGTATCAGACATTGGCACCTTGTGAAATAAAGGTAAATTGCACTTATCCAGTGATTAAAGATTCAATTATTGTTGTGGAGAAAAGATATACTTACACTGTTACACACCTCGGGTCGTTAGCGACCCTATACAATTTATACAAAAAAAAAAAAAAAAACGAATGGGAAATTGAAACCAGGCATTCTTTTATAATTGTATTATTTTTTTCTTGTTACATTGTGTATAATGAATTGATTGAGGAATACTAAGAAGGTTGATATCTAACTTTAAAAAGTGAATGAGGAGGAGGGTTGTGAATGACGTCCCGGGTCACTAAAGACCCGAGTTATGCGTTTAAGGGTTAAAAGCATCTTAGCTGCTATATAACATCCAAAAATGAAAATCTTGAAATTATTTGCGTGTGTGACAGACTGAAATTTCAGTTGCTATTCAATGAACAATGACTCAAATTTCAGTCTGTCTCTCAAACAAACTGTATGACTTCATTGAGTAACACTTTTTAAGGTGACATACACTCTAAAAAATGCTGGGTTGTTTCAACCCAAATTTGGGTCAAATATGGACAAACCCAAATGTTGGGTTAAAAATGTAATAATAAAATTTACAGTTGAAAGTGAAAATTTTAAATTACATTTTTAACCCAACATT